CACACACACACAGACGCACACACACACAGACGCACACACACACAGACGCACACACACACAGACGCACACACACACAGACGCACACACACACAGACGCACACACACACAGACGCACACACACACAGACGCACACACACACAGACGCACACACACACAGACGCACACACACACAGACGCACACACCCACAGACGCACACACACACAGACGCACACACCCACAGACGCACACACACACAGACGCACACACCCACAGACGCACACACACACAGACGCACACACACACAGACGCACACACACACAGACGCACACACACACAGACGCACACACACACAGACGCACACACACACAGACGCACACACACACAGACGCACACACACACAGACGCACACACACACAGACACAGACGCACACACACATTCCCACCCGCTCTGCAGACTGCAGATGAGTGGAGTAAGTTACCGAAGGTGACACGGCTAGAACTCAGCGGAGCTGAGTCTGTCCCCTCTAGTCTGTCCCCTTCGCCACTCTGTAGCTCTACTGCCCTGATCTCTTGCACCCAACTCGGGAAAGTGAGCTATAGCCAATACTTCCTGTACGTCCCCAAGTCAGGTGTGCCCTCTCTGGCACCCACTACCCTAAGATCCAAGACTGGTGCTGAAACATACCCCATTTTCTCTCTCCTGGAGAGGCTCGCCCAGGTGCCCGCCCTTTCCACCACACCACCCCAGCCCCCAGACCTCAAGAGTTCCAGTCCAGTTCCCTAACTACAAGCATACCAAGGCTGCAATAGCTGGTCGGGGGACTGAAGAAGTGAAGGGGTGGGGGGCGGGAAAGAAAGCAAAGTCCTAGCAGTTCACATTCCTGAGCAAGCACCTCTCCCATCTATTCCATGCCCCTCTGAGGGGAACATCCATACACTTTAGTACCCACATACCCTGTTCCTGGCCGGTGGTGACTTACCTCTCTCAGCCTCTCTTTGGTCATCTGTAGAATGGAACCAGCAGCCATTTCATACAGCTGTGAGGCCCTGAGAGGACACAGAGCCAGCTGCCTGACACAAGGTAATGCTGCTGCCTTGCAGTACTCTACATTTCTGCCAGAGCTCAGGGTGCTTTCTCATTCTCACAGATGAATAAGCTAAGGCCTGAGAGGAGTGACTCACTGATGAGCGCGCCCCTGCTCCAGTGACTCGCTCTATTACCCACCCCACCACAATGCATAATTGGGCTCCACCCCAGGGCCCCCAGGGGGTACTCAGAACCAGAAAAGCTGCCTTAGGAGAAGGGCAAGCCTGCCTCTAGTAAGACAGCTTCAGGGCCCACACTTGCCTCTCCTTTGAGACAAAGGGCAATCTTACTAGGTCCCACCCAGAGCAGGAAGGCAGGCAGATAACAGGATAGGGTAAGGTCAATGTCCTAAATCATGACTTTCATTGACAAACTGAGTGGGTTTTTTGTTTGTTTGTTTTGCCTTTTTTTTTTTTTACACAACAATTTCTCTGCCAACAGCCCTGACTGTCCTGGAACTTGCTTTGTAGGCCAGGCTGGCCTCGAACTGCCCAACTGGAATCCACCTGCCTCTGCCTCCCAAGTGCTGGAATTATAGGATCCTATCACCACCCAGCTGTGTTTGTACCTTTTAACTCACATTGCTGACCACCCTAAATGAATCCTCCTTTCTCTTGGTTCCCTAAAGTCCTGTGTTATATATATCCAAGCACCCCACAGGTACAAACAGAGCTTGGACAGTATCAATTAATACTGTTACCAGGCCCTGTGCCAATCACTCTGTAGTATCATTTAATTTTGCCTACTCTATACACAGTGCCCCCCCAGAGGGAAGAGTCTTCGGGATGCTGAACAATTTGTCCTTCAAAATTGGTGGGCTGGAATTCAAACCCAGACCCTTCCCATCCTCTGTAACCCCCATTTTCTCTGCCAAGTCCAGGGAGATATAGACAACTGGGTCACTTAAAGTGATCACTTCTGTCAAGCAGATCTGAGAATACTAATAACGTTTTCACTCTTCCCAATGCTGCTTGACCCCTCCCCCACATGCTAATATACTGCCTGGCTGAATCCAAACAGTGCCTCCCCTCTGCCAGGCCCTCAGTCACCAAGCTTTCCCAAGCTTAGCCAGGCTCCTCCCTGGCCTCAAGAACAACATACTGCCTCTTCTGGAGCGCCAGTCACATCCAAGCAGTTATTTATTTACAATCGTTCCCCACGTGGGTGGGGCCCTGTCTTCCCGGCTTTCCCAGGCTCTACACAGAACTGGAATGTGCTGAGCTGCCTTCGTTCTACCTTAGGAGTATGGAGTAGCAGGGGGCTGGGCATTGAGATGGTGAGGCCCTTCTCCTGGTCAGACTTCTAGATGAGGTCCCTAAAGCCTCCCAGAAAGGCAGGACCCACCACTGTGGACTATGGACCAGCATGCCTCTTTCACAGTTTATGGAAGTCTGGAGAGGAGTTCATCCTATCTTCCTGTGCTAACTCTGTGTCCCCAGCTTCAGGTACCCACCCTGTCCAGCAGCCCTTGGCTAAACCAAGGGAGCATGCAGCCCCCAAGGCAGCCGACATGCTCCCATTCTCATCCCACTCTGGCCACCTCACCTCTTGAGAGGTACGTGATGCCTGTGAGATACATACACGCCAGGACCCTTGAGTCAAGGCAGTTTGTTTCCCACCTGCCATCTTTCTCACCTCTATATGCCTCTCTTCGTACACGTGGGGCTCACTGTGACCAACTCAGAGGTACTTGGGATTCCTCTGCCTAAGAACAAAGATCCTCCCCCAATCTTCCATCTGGGTCTCCCAGTCTCACTGTACCAGCTGCAGGAGGGAGGCCATGGTAGAAACACACTATCTCAAGAATGTGGCTATCCATAGGCCAGACTCCACACAGACAAACAGGAACTCTGACACACTGGGGAGGGAAGACTGCAAATGAACCAAGTACAAGCCTTGTGGAGCCCCACAAATGGGGACACAACACAAAGCATCTTATTTAAATCTCAAAATAAACCAACACGCCAGGACTTTCCATACCTACTCGACAGAAAAACAATACAGAGCTCTGCACACCTTGCCCAAGATCACACAGCCAGAAAAGACCCAGCAAGACTCTTCCCATCCTTTCACTTGAAGTGGCACACTCAAGGGCCACTATGGATAATCCCACAATGCTCCAGTCCATCTACCTCTTTAGAGCTGACAAAACTAGAGACAGGTCTCTTCCTTGCCTTGTCCTGAACAAGGCACTTCTGCACAGGGCTTTTTCTTCCTTGCTCAGTTGAAGCCCATTTCCTCCAGGAAGCCTTCTCTGGTTACCTAAGCTTGTTGGCAGTCCATAGCACTTCTAACATTTAACACCTGAGGTTTGGCTCTGCACGTGTCCTGCCTCCCCAACCACGATGGCTGGAGCCCCACCTCTCCAAAGAGCCCAACACTGAAGGCACTAGGAATTTGCTGTGAGGGGAAACCTGTGACCTCCTTCCTATTCATCACACGAAGGATGCTGCCAAAGAAACCTAACACCCCCTTCTACCCTCGGAGCCCATGTTTCCCAGTGTCCACGCATCAGTTTCCACCCAAGTAATTGCAACCCATCACACATACATCATCCTCTATATTTGAAACTCTTTGAGGTTGTCATGGGAACTGCCTTCGCCTTCATTCACTGATCAGGCCTCACAATTAGCTTTGGCAGCTGAAGTCTGTGTCAATGGCAATCACCAGGAGGAGGAAGCAGAGGAGGAGCAAAGGAAGAAAAGACACTCCTCCTTGGAGGAACAGCAGACCGAGACGCAATGAAGGTACCACTGATGTCCTGATACACAAAGAGGCAGCCCCAATACCCACCCCCTCACCTCCACTCTGACAAACACACACACTGAGCCCCTGACACCTAGTGCCACTCTGCCTGTACTCCACAAGTTCCATCAGTGGTTCTCACCCCTCCTAATGCTACAACCCTTTAACACAGATCTTCATGTTGTGGTGAGCCTCCCAAAGTTATTTTATTGCTACTTCATAGCTAATTTTGCTAATGTTATAAATCATAATGTATATGTCTGATATGCAATCCCAAGGACCACTGTCCTAGATGCTTTAGAAGGTGTTATACTGCTTCATTATGGTCACATTCAACTGTCTTTTGGACTACCAAATGTCCCAGGACCCACTCAAATAACAGGAGACTAGATGACCCTACAGGAACAAGGTGCACAGTAACTCAAATCCAGGGTGGCCTGGAAGACTGCCAAGAGTAACTAACACACATGGAATCTCCCTGAAGGATCTGTGAACACCCTC